CTGGCTTAAAATTTAAATCCTTGTTTCATGCGCATGTGCAACTTGATACTGAAGCTTCAGAAAACTCGATCACCTTTCTACCACAGCACAGGGAGGCCTTGCTGGGAAGTAAGAGTCCAGACGCTATGGGACTCACCACTGACTCTGCAGGAACTCATTAAACTGTGTCCAGGAAGCCTGGTTGCCTAGGGAAGATAAGGACAGCCACCTGCCTGGGTACAGTGGGCAGCCAGGGAGCCCCATTCATGTTATCTACTGCCCTCAGAGATGGGTGACACTGGGCGGGAAGTGAGACAAGGGGGTCATAAACAGGCTGTATAAAAATCAATAGCCGCCTCAAGCTCAGGCAGATCTGATAAGGACACAGCATGCAAATGACTGTGAGCCCATGCCAGGGCCTCATGTGTCATCCAACATCCTCACTGCAGGGCTTATCTAGACACAATGAGCAGTGATTATATGTGTCATTTATTTTTTATAATCACATGTTTTTGTGAAGGCCCTGACAGGTAGAACTAAGATGGAAGACAACAGCCCTGAAGTGTCTTGCTGGCCATCCTGACCATGCCCTTGTAAAGTCTGCTGCCAATCTATCCAGATGTTTCATTTTTGACAGGTTGCTAAAATAGCTTCTGCTGGTTTCAACATCAGCCATTTGGAGATCTGTGCCAATTCGTAGCCGTGGTTCTGGACAGAATATAAATAATACAAGACCTTCAAATTTCTTTAATATAAAAACAGTTGCCAGGTGGTGGTGGCAAAACCTTTAATCCCAGAGGCAGGGGGATGTCTTGAGTTCAAAGCCAGGCAGAGGCAGGGGAATCTCTGAGTTCAAGGCCAGCCTGGTGTATGGAGTGAGTTCCAGGACAGTCAGGGCTACACAGAGAAACCCTGTCTCGAAAAACCAAAACAGTCAAGTGGCATTTTAAAAGTTCAGTTTTTTAAAACTGCCCTCGGAATCTTTTAAACTAAGTGTCACTTCATTCTGTCTGAGCAATCGCTCAAACTGACTTCCCCCCTCCAGTCCCCTCCACATACATCTGTAAATCAACGGAACCTGAGTCCTTAAAACCCACAGGAAACAGAAAACCAGTTTCAAGCAGGTGAGGAGAAACAGAGAAAGAACAAGACCTAATTATAGTCCTTGGCGAAAACTGATATTAATTTTCATATTTAGTCATCTGCTCATGTACAGCTTTGTAATTTATTCTGATACTTCAGTACTGAGCTTGTAAACGATGTCACTTGGCACCCTAACATACAGGAAGCGACTGTGGCAGTTCCTTTCAACCAAGGCTAGCTTGGCTCTTCACACAGCTGTGATGCAACAAGAGATAATAACAGCCACCTCCATATGGGGGAACCAAACAAACTCCAATTTGGGGGCCAACTAGAGTCTGGCTTAAGCTAGTTAGGTTCTGTTTAGGTTCACACTACTGTGGCAAAATCCCATCTAAAACATCTTATCTGTAGAGGCGGAAAGCTAAGACTTAAGGCAGGTGTCCGACAATTTCTCAGCTAACCCAAGGATTCCATCTGTATCTTTACCCCTGGTCTGGGTATTATCTGTGCATGCCACAAGACAGCTTCTGTCAACATTCATTTTCCTTTAATTTCTATTTATATTCTGTTCTCCAAAGTTTCAGCCCGTTCTAAAGAAAGAACTTGGGTAATGAGTAGCTTGACACCATGTCAGCTATTTAAGACTTCAGGTGCTCACGCCAGCCTTTGCTCTCTGTGCTGCCTTCCATTTGGGGAGAATAGTTAAGCTACAGTTTTTTTAATGCTGCGATTCTTTGAAGAGAGATTACATAAAGGGAAGGCTATAGTGGTGGAATTTGGTCTTAGCTGATAAAGCTGATATGAGCCAGAGCATCCAAGAACAGCAGACCTGAGAGTAAGGCAGAGTCTTCACTGACACTGACATGAAGCTACCAAAGACCCTCCTGACTCCAAAGCTAACTTTCGGCGTGGCTGGGCCGTTCTACAGACAGATGCTAGGACAATCACCTCCAAAGCAGGAGTGATTCCCAGGAGGCCCGACTCAGGCTGACACTGTCATTTTATCCCGATTCCTAAACTCAAGGTGGTTCTAGGATTACAGACATAGAAAACCTTGTGGGCTGAGACCTTCCTACCCATGTTCTTAGCCTGTCTTTCACTGAGAATGAGTGTCCCTTAAAAAACTTTACAAAAACGATCATTCTAGAACATACACAGAAATGATACTCTCCAGTCATCCAGAAGGGAGTGGATCCTTCATACTGTCTAGGGAGCAGTGGCAGCCTGTACTTTGGAAAAGCCCTCTAGCCAGGATTTCACAAGCCCAAAAACCACGTACTCTGCTTCTAAAAACACGGGGAAAAAAAATCACATTTTTCTGGATTCTTCTTGCTGCTTTTATATTTGGTTGATAGGTCATTTGACTGTTTTCTTAGTATGTTTCTGTATTTTTATAATATATTACAATAGATATCATTTATTATTCCTTGTCTTCAGTAAAAATTTTTTTAAAAAATCAGTAAATATAAAATATACCTTGTCCCAAACAACTTTTATTCCGAAGTGTGTACTATGAAATGTGGAGACCATCTTCAGGAGCCAGTTTTGTTTACTAAAAAAATATTTTAGAAAACTCCATATGCATTAACAGTAGTTTTCTAGTGACCCAGGGTTTGGAGAATTCATTTTAAAAAGCCCACACCACTTGCACAGCTATTGCTTACAGGACATGACTCAGCAGAACAGTAAGCCGACATGGACTGTTCTTTCTCACTTCCACAGACCTCCATGGCCTGTGAGTCAGCACTAACGGGGCAGCCGTGGGCCCTCCTTCCACTGCTGTCTGGAATCCCATTATCTGATGAAATACTCTTTTTCTCCATTTTACAGCAGGACACATGAGCTAAATTCTAGGTCACGTGGGAGTACCCTGGGAATAGAAGTCGCTTTTATAGCTTTTTGGCCCAAACCACATACTTTTTCTAGATCTACTCTAAGTATCATTTCAAGGTACTTTCTGAAGGGCTCTCGGGAGAGGTGGGGCTACATCTAAAGCCTCTGGCCATTGTTTCCTAACTTCTTCCCCTTAATAAGGGAAGGAGCAGTACTTTCACAGGGGGTATCAGAAGCTTTGAAAGTGATTGAAGAGGAAGAGCTTACAGAAGATCTGAAGCAGGCTCATTAGAGCTGAAATGCTGTCACCACAGGCCAAGAGAGCAGCATTTTAAGTGCACAACCCAAACGAACTGAGATTTCCAAGTGTCACCATCAGATGACAAACACCTTCGGCAAGGATTAAAGCTCCTTCTGTTGACTCTTCTCAGTGTTTGGCAACTGCTTGCTGTGGTGGTCCTGATCCTCCCCAAGAGGCCGTGAGTGAAAGGTTTGATCATCTGCCTGTGTTGCTACTGGGAAAAGGAAGAACGTTAGGAGGTGGGACCCAGCGAAAGGGGCTTAGGTCACTAGGGATACACCCTGAAGGAAGGAGGGGCTTAGGTCACTGAAGGAGGGGCTTAGGTCACTAGGGATACACCCTGAAGGAAGGAGGGGCTTAGGTCACTGAAGGAGGGGCTTAGGTCACTAGGGATACACCCTGAAGGAAGGAGGGGCTTAGGTCACTAGGGATACACCCTGAAGGAGGGGCTTAGGTCACTAGGGATACACCCTGGAGGAGGGGCTTAGGTCACTAGGGATACACCTTTGAAGGAGGCTGGAATCCTGCTTCCTTCCACTCTCTCCATGCTCCCTGGCTGCAGGAGGTGAGCAGTTGGGCTTCATCACATCTTTCTGCCATGACTCTGCCTCACCTCAGAACCCAAACAAGGAAGTCAAGTGATCATGGACTGAAGCCTCCACATCTGAGCTAAAATAAACCCTCCTCCTTTTGAGTTGATGACTGCCCCAAGCATTTACCTCAGTCATGGAAAGTCCACTAACATACTTCACTACTACAACAGTTTCCAGTATAATAGTTCCTCTCTTTCTCTGTGTATCCATGCATGTTTGCATCTCCATGGGTGCATCCGAGGCCTGGTACATGTACACACATACACACATACATGTGGAGGCCAGAGGCTGATGTCAGGTGTCTTCCTCGTGTGTGTGTGTGTGTGTGTGTGTGTGTGTGTGTGTGTGTGTGTGTGTCCTGCCCTGTGAGATAGGTGCTTGCTGCCATTCCTGACAAGCAGAAGTCAAGCCCTAGAACCCACATTATAGAAGGAGAGAACTAAATCTCCTTGTCCTCTGCCCTCCATAGGCATCCTGTGGCACATGTGCCCCCTCCATAACCACATACATAGAATATAATGTAATTTTGAAAAGTTGAGTATCCCTACTCAAATCAAATCCAACCTCTGGATTTACAAAACACCAATTCAACTAAATCAGTCAGTCCCAGAAGAATCTCACTAGGCTCAAGCTGGGCTCCAAGGTGAGAGCCTAGAACCCTGCCCTACCTCCTCGCATGTTAAATGAATGCTTTACCTTGGAGCTGTATACTGAGCAGCCTCCTTTTTAATTTCAGCATTTTTTTTTTTTTTTTTAGGTTTTTCGAGACAGGGTTTCTCTGTGCAGCTTTGCACCTTTCCTGGATCTCGCTCTCTAGACCAGGCTGGCCTCGAACTCACAAAGATCCGCCTGCCTCTGCCTCCCAAGTGCTGGGATTAAAGGCGTGCGCCACCACCGTCCGGCTAATTTCAGCATTTTTATAAATGCCCCTCATAATCTTTATGCATGCTAAATTTTGGGAACCTCTCCAACAGGACAGATGTGAAAGTCAAAGAAACCAGCAAGCGGAGACAGGCAAGATTTGAACTGGAGGTTTTTCTTTTTTTTTTTTCTTAGTCACCTTTTAAAATGTACTTTTAATTTATTCTTTGAAACTTTTGTACATGTGTGCGATGTCGTCTGGTGACACCAATGGGGAACCAGGAGTTATAAATAAGGTCGGTGGCGAGGTTCTCCAACACCTTCGTTTCAACACTCCTTCCTGATGAACTTCAGTCAGGCTGCTTGCATCAGCGTGCTGATGCTGTCTTCTACCTCTGACAGCCTCTTCAGGACTTGCTTGACTTTAACCTCATCAAATTCCAGACACAGAAATTCAGATTCCTGTAAAACATAAAAGGTTGTGTCAGAAGAAACCTGCAAGGCAGCTGCAGTGGTCTGAAAGAGAATGGCCTCCATCCACAGGGTCGTTCGCATGTTCACAAGCTCAGTCCCCAGCGGAAGAGCTGTTTGGAAAGAATTAGGGAATGTGGCACTGCTGGAGGAGGTGTGTCACTGGGGATGGGCTTTAAGGTTTCGAAAGCTCACACCAAGACCACTCTCTCTCACCTACTGCTCCAGTGCCACACCTGTCTGCTGCCTGCCATGGTGATGATGGACTAACCCTCTAAAACTGTAACTGAGTCCCAAAATTAAATGCTTTCTTTTATAAGCTGCTTTGGTCATAGTGTCCCCTCAAAGTGGAGAACAGGAAGTAAGTCCATAGCTACGGCTCTTCATCTGGCATGAGCAAGCTGCAGAGGTCCAGGGTCCCTGTGCCGTGAACCAGACTCGGGCCTTTAAACCTATGCCATATTTTACCATGCAAAGCAAACCCACAGTGTCCTCAATGACACCAAGGGTAAACACAGACAGGTGCCACTGTTCTCTGTAGTTGGAAGTTTTCCTGTGTCCCGCTTGCTTGGCCCACGGTCAGGACAAATCTCTCTCACTTTCTGTGTCTTGCCTGGCCCATGGTCAGGACACATCTCTCTCACTTTCTGTGTCCTGCCTGACCCGCAGTCAGGACAAATCTCTCACCCACAGTCTCAAAGCCTTTTATAAAATTATAAAATAATCGCACAGAAGCTTAATAGTAATTATAACTGCTTGGCCATTTGCTCAGACTTATTACTGACTAGCTCTTACACTTAAATTAACCCATAATTCTTATTTATGTTTAGCCACGTGACTTGGTACCTTTTCTTAGTTCTGCCTTGTCATCTTGCCTCCTCTGTGTCTGGCTGGCAACTCCTGACTCTTCCTTCCTCTTCCCAGCATGATCATCCAATTTAAACTAACTTATACCACTAACAAATACTTTTCATTTAATCAGATATAACTTGCCAAAAAGGAACCTCCCCAAAGTTAGGCTTGGGGAAGGGTTTTTGTTTTTGTCTTTCAGGAGAATGAAGGCTAAGGAATCTGAAGAACAGTGGACAAATGAGACATCTGAAGAAAAAGGACAAATCATCTAGAAAAAATGTCCCAAGAAAAGGAGTAAATTGGTCTATTGGTATATCACATATAAAATTTTGTAAGTCTTCCTAAACGTTTGTTTCTACTGTTCTCTACAGACACTTAACACAAATGTTCTTTATGTAGTCCCAGTTCAATTAAAAATTAAAGTTGGCTTTGGAGTTGGAGAATGGCCCTCTCCTTCTCTAAACCTAAGCATGTTTGTTAAAAGGAAAATGCAAAATCTCTGTATTATGTCAGAAGAAAGAGCCATCTGATATGGGACAGAAGAAAACCAAAATTAAGGAACTATTCTATTGCCACTAATCTTAATTCTTTGGTTCTATATTGACTCTTTAAACTTTTCTTAAGGTATGAATTTTATATCATAATTTGTAAGATTTATATATATATATATATATATATATAAAACTTTTGTTCTGATATTAATGGTCATATAGAGTACTAACTAATTCTAGAAAAAAGGCTTCATTTAGCTGCCTGTACATGTTTTTGTGTTGGAGTCTCTATCAGTTTTCTGCAGGGAATCATGACCAGGTCTAACAGTGAATTTGAAATCTCCAGAAAGATGATGGAGCCCCACAACGATGATTCCATCAGGACGATAATAATACCACTAAGCTGACAAACATCACCCAAGGATCAGCTTTGGACTACAAACTGCTCAGGACAATTTCGAGATGGCTAGCTGAGATGATCCAGCCTCACAGACTATTTGAGCGAGGACTTGAGAAAAGCCCTGCACTTTGGCATTATGCAGAGACTGGACAACAAATGATACAGCTACCTCTCCCGGAACTTGACAATTAACCCAAAAATTTTCTTTTTAGGATCCCCTAAAGATGCCTTCATCCACAAATAGCAGGAAGCAATTTTAAGAATACGACACCCACATTTCCAAGAGGTGGGACAGGTTGTTTATGGTCTTTCAATGGGTTTCGGGTTTGGGATGATTGTTTAGGATGGTTGGTTACAAGTTGTTATTGTTAATGGTCAGGAAAGAAACTAAACAAAGGAGATTAGATTAAAGGTTCTTGTTTGAAAATAAAAAGAAAGAAAAGAAAAAAGAGGATATAGATAAGAGGTAGATTATTGAATCTACTCTGAAAAAAACATAGAAATGATAGAATAAAGGGTAGATTATTAAATCTACTCTGAAAAGAAAAAAGAGAGGATATAGACACGATACAGATAAAAAGGTAATTATTGAATTTACTTTTAAAAGACAACTACTAGTTTTAAATATTTTACATTGGATTAGATTTTTATATATTGTATACAAAATATATATTGATACAAATTTGAGATTGATTTTGTTAGAAAATGCTGTACATATACTTCTAATCTTGTTCACGATATTGTACCTATACTGTTGCTTGAGTTTTCCTGCCTGGCCCACAGTCAGGACAAATCTCTCTCACCTGCCAGTCCCACAGCCACTCAGACTCGACCAAGTAAACACAGAGACTTATATTGGTTACAAACTGTATGGCCGTGGCAGGCTTCTTGCTAACTGTTCTTACAGCTTAAATTAATCCATTTCCATTAATCTATACCTTGCCACATGGCTCGTGGCTTACCGGCATCTTCACATGCTGTTTGTCATCATGGCGGCTGGCAGTGTCTCTCTCTCAGCCTTCCACTTCCCAGCCTTATTCTCCTCCTTGTCCCGCCTACACTTCCTGCCTAGCCAATGGCCAATCAGTGTTTTATTTATTGACCAATCAGCAACACATTTGCCATACAGAACATCTCACAGCACTATACAGTTCATTTAACAATGTAATGCAATTTGCTAATCCTTGAATGTTATCATATAAAGAAATGAAAGTCAGTAGTTAGATATTACAATCAAACTTGTCATATTAGGTATATTTTCAAGGTCAAGCAGAGATATATTTTACATAGACAGGTCATCTTCAAACCCTTCAGAGATCTACAGAATATGGCATTTAAGATGTTTTAATAACATAGTTTTTTTCTTTTTTTTTTATGACTATGAGACATTTCTGCTCCTGGCAGCACCAATCTACTTCAGAGAAGATATGGGCAATGAAGAAACTGCATATGGAGTTAACTTTCATTGTGGCAAAAGTTAGTGACTGGGCAACAAAGTGTCCTCGCATTGACTGCTGACAGTATGCTATCCAAAATGGACAGACAGGACACAAAATAAAGGACTACCGATCATTGCCAAGACAAGTGTGGTTGTGGCTTTGGCAACAGGTGTCCTCTGAGGCCAGGACAATATGGCACCATTGCTGAAGTGGCTTTGTAATCCAGAAAAGGTACAGTGCCCCTTTCTTCAAAGGCAGCTGAACAGGCAATGGACCGATGGCTTCTGGTGTGCAGTGGAACAGTAGCTGAAAAAGTTATTCTTGAAAGAGTAACTAGGCTGACAGAGTCTAACCTCTCAATGATAGACTGGCATTTAATAAAGGAGATGAAGACACCCACAAGCCGAGAAGAATGGGATGCGGAGAACGGGATGCCGAAATGAAGCCATCCACAAGCCAAGAAGAATGGACAGCTGAATTCCAAAAACATCAACAATTTCCAGAATTTAAAATCCTGAATCATGACAAGACACTGGCAGAATTCAAGTTTATCTGGTACATGGAATACTTGCACTGAATGTGAGGTCGAGCTGTAGGCCTTGCGTATATCCTGCTTCACAAATGAGTCTGTCAGATATGCTAAGCCTGTAGGCTGAAGATGATGCCCCAACATGCAGAGAAACCTCAGTTGATTGTCCAGGATGCTGGCTGTTTCCATCATAACTCATTTTTTGGAAGTCACTTGTTTGCACTTCCTGTTTTACTAGGTAATATTATTTCCTTCTCTAGTCTCTGAGGAAGTTGAAGATTATATAGTTATAGTTACAGTTTTCCTTGTTAAGAAATTCAGAAAAAAAACTCACTAAGAGGTGTTAAGTGTGTAAGTTTGAAAGACATCATAAGATATTTTCTGTTGGTAATATAAGTTAGGATAGAAAGTGAGTTAGGTATATTTTGGACTCACCAAAATAGAACAGATAATGGAATATTTTCTCTGAATTTGTCAAATGCAAATAGACTAGACATTGCTGATGTATTTATTGCTTGTATATATTGAATACAGTTATTGTACTTATTGTATATAGTTTTTCTTATATGAGTTATAACTTTTTTATTTTTATTAGACAAAAAGGGGAAATATGGTGATATTTTATTTGTACTTTAATAAATAAAGTTTGCCTGGATATCAGAGGAAATAGCAAGCCATTTTAAGTAAACATAGAAGTTAGGCAGCGGTAGCATATGCCCTTAATCCTGTCACTTAGCAGGCAGGATTTCTGTGTGTTCAAGGTCACACTAGGGAACAGAGCCAAGGGTGGCGACACATCTCAGTACCAACCACAGAGACCTGGAGGTCTGTACAGACAGACAGAAAGTGACAGAGCTGTGTAGGAAGAGGAAGTGAGGTAGCTGGGCTAAGAGAGCCAATGAGAGGGCAGAACAGCAAGGCAATAAAGGCGTGGGTAGACAGGAAGTAACTCGCATTTGGAAGCTGCAGAGTTGGTGTGGTAAGGTTGGCTGGTGGCTTTCCCTATTTCCCTGATCTCTCTAAGGCTTTCACCCCTATATTTGGCTACATGTTTTTTATTTAATAAGACCATTTTAAAAATTCATCTACAGTTCCCATTAGGAGAGGTTCTGTCCGGGAGCTCAATTGATGCTGGTACAAATTTAAGGTAAGTGCTTAGGTATTGCTCCTTTGTGGATGAAAACTGAGGGCAGGAAAGGTTAACCTCCATCTGAAGAATTTTAAATGGCACAGTCAGATACTGAACTCCCAGCTCTGGCTGACTTCAGAGTCAGTGCTGT